TATATTAAACTAAATTTTTTCACATATTTTGGATAAAAATTCTCTTTATAAACAGTATAGATATTTTCTCCTACTCTGTGGTTTGATTTTTCATTTTCATAGTAGTGTCTTTCAGAGACCAGAAGTTTTGATTTTCGTGAAGTTCCAGTCAAATTTTCTGGTATTTTTGTGTGTGTCCTAAGGAATTTTAACGTCTTATTCTGATTAAGGTTGAACATCCTTTAAGGGCCATCTGCCTATATTTTTTTCTGTGAACTGTTGATGTCTTTGGCCTGCTTTTAAAAAATCAGTTTATTGGTCTGTTACTGATTTTTAAGAGCTATTTGTATATTAGGGACATTAGCCTTTTATGGTATATTACAGTGTTTTCTCCCAGTGAGTTTCTCTTTGCTTTGCTTATAGTGTTTTCTTCATGCAAAATTGCCCATGTATATTTTTACACAGTCTAATATATTTGGGTTTTTTTTGCTTTTAGGTTATGTGCTTCCCACTCCTAGACTATAAAGGAATTCGTCTATGTGTTCCATCTATTATTTGTAGGATTTTACTTTTTATATTTAGATCAGGGTTCCATTTGAAGTTTGTTCTAATGTTCAGTGTAAGCACAGAATAAGTTTTATCATTCTGCAAATAGTATTTTCTTATCTCCAAATCATCTATTAAAAAGTCGATTTTTTCTAATGATTTGAGGTCACATCCCCCAGACCTTTATCATTAAAATATTAAATTTCCATAATGTAGATGGACATTCTATTCTGTTCTGGGGTTATTTTGTTCCATTGGCCCAAATATCTGCTCATGCTGACACCACCCTCTTAATTACAGACTCATGACATAAAACATGGTAGGGGAACCTCTCCATTGCTCTTCTTTCCAAAGGTTTTCCTCGATAGTCTTGCTTATTTTTTCTCACATAAACTTTAGAACCAGCTTACTTGATTTTTTGAAATTGAGTTTGTATTAAATTTAGATTGATGTTGAGTCTTCCTATGCATAAACGGGGTAGTTTTTGGTTCACTTTTCATAATCTTGTGAGGCTGTTAAAAAGGGATTCACCTATGCGATTGTTTTTGAAGGGTTGGTTTTTGTTTTTGTTTTGTTTTTTCATATATATGCTGTATATTTCATATTATATCAATTCCCTAGTAGTTTATCTTTTTCATGGTTCTTATAGTGAATGGCTTCTTCTCTTTCATTACGATTCTATAATTTGTGGTTAATTCATTAAGACGACCCTCACTGGGCGCTTACTCCGCCAGGTGCTAGGTGGATTTAGTAGGGAGCAGACAGATCTCGTCCCCAACTTTTACTCCCTCAACTTTATTGAGGAATAACTGATAAAAATTATGATTTAATATACATATACATTATGAAATGATTATCTACATTGTGAAATGATTCTCACAGTCAAGTTAACACATCCCTCACCTCATTTTTAAAAAAATTTTTAAGCATAGTTGACATAAAATATTGTATTAGTTATATTGACTTGAGGTGTATAATATAGTAATTTTACATTTCTGTATTACTAATTCTAGTAATCACCTGCCACAGTAAATATTTATCACAGTATCACTGACTATAATCCCTGACACCCTTTCCTTTTGTTTCTACAAGTCTGTATGTTTCTTTTTATAAGTGAAACCGTATAGTATTTGTCCTTCTCCTGACTTATTTCACTTAGTATAATAACCTTTAGGTCCATCCATGTTGCCGCAAATGACAAGACTTCATTCCTTTTTTATTGCTGTATATTATTCACACACACACAAACACATAAGACCTGATACATAAAAATTTGTGCAAGAGTAGGCATTCCTTCTCCCAGCTTCCCTCGCAGCCCTGGCTTTATCCGGAAGGACAACCGGTCTAATTAGCATATTATGCTTTTATTATTATAATCACATCTGTGGGTTTTTTAATCCAGGCTCTGACCCTGTTTTATTTTTATTGATTTTAGAGAGGAAGAGAGATAGAAACCTCAATGAAAGAAAGAATCTTTCCAAAAATCGGGACTTTTTTAAAACGCAGCAGGACACGGGACAAATTGTTAAGGTGATCAGACGTCCCAATTTTTAAGTTAGGCGTCAGCAGTCCTGAATTGTGAGAGGGATGTCCAACTGCCCTTTCTGACCCGATCCCACCAGGATTGGGCCTAAACAGGCAGTCAGACACCCCTCGAGGGATCCCAGATTGGAGAGGGCGCAGGCTGGGCTAAAGGACATCCCTCTTCCTCTCCTCCCCCCCCCCACGAATTTCGTGCACTGGGCCTCTAGTTGTAAATAATGCTGCAGTGAACACAGGGATGCATATGTCTTTCCAAATTAGTGTTTATTTTCTTTGGATTAATACAAGTGGGATTGCTGGGTCATCTGATAGACCTATTTTTAGTTTTCTGAGGACTCTACATATTGTTTTCCATAATGACCACACCGATTTTCAATATCTACATTCATGCCAGTACATTATTTGTTGATTTTTTGGTAATAGCTTTTCTGTTATGTGTGATGTGGTGTATCTCATGGTTTTGATTTGCATTTGATTAGTAATATTGAGCATCTTTTCATGTCTTTTGGTCATCTATGTTTTCTTAGGAGAAATGTTTTTTTTCATGTCCGCTGTCCATATTTTTATCAGGTTGTTGTTGTTACATGAGTTTCTTAATATATTTTGGTTATTAACCCCTTATCAGTTATATATTTTCCCATTCAGTAGCATATCTACCTAGTTACTTTGGTATATGTATGGTAGGAACACTAAGATCTACTCTCTTAGCAAATGTGAAGTATACGATACAGTGTTAACTGTAACCCCCATGCTGTACATTAGATTTCCACAACTAATCCCTTTTGTAACTGAAAATGTGTGCCCTTTGACCAACATCTCCCCACTCCCAGCAACCCCACTCACCTACTGTCTGGTTCCGAGTTCGGTTCTTTTAGAATCGTTAAGTAAGTGAGATCATACAGTGTTTGTCAGGGCTGAAGCTTCTGGAAACTTAAAATCACGGCTGCTAGTGCCTTCTGAGCCCAGCCCTTCCGGAAAGGACTGGCTGCCCTAGTGGCGAAACCCATTTCATTGGGGATCTCATTCTGCAAAACCCCGGAGCAGTTTATGTGAAAACCCACCTTCCACCCCTTCTGTGAAGTCCCACCCCACACAGCCTGGCCTCCCACACACCCTTCTTCACAGCTGCGATCCAATAAGACGAGTGGCAGCTCCTGCTTTCCCATGCAGCCCTGCCCTGGGTCCCCAGATCCTGTAAGTAACCTCACCTGCCCATCTGCAGAGGGCGTTGCTCATTGATATGGACTCTGCCCATCCCTGCCTGGTAGCTTCCCAGGAGGCTGGGCAAGAGGTCACAGAAGGTCAAGGCCCCCTCCTCCATGCAGCCTGTTGCAGTCCTGCAGGCAGTCCAGGCAGCCCTTTTTGTTCACATCACCTTTTCCCACACACCTATGCCCCCAGCTCCTCACTTACTTGCTGTATGATCCTAGCAAGGTGCCTTACCTCTCTTGAGCTTGTTTCCATCGGCACCTCACAGGCTATTGTGAGGAGTGAAGGAAGGACTATTGCAAACGGTCTGCATAGCTTGTGGCACAGGGAGAGGCTCCATAATCGTGTGTTTATTGAATGACACAGTGAAAGAATGAATTCCCCTGGTGAACCCTGTGGTGGCAAGTTTGCCTGCTCAGATGGTCAGACCTATGGGATTTCGCGTCCAGGAGCTCCTAAGTGCAACTCCCCACCTCCCACCACCGAGTCCCTTCCCAGGAGGCAGGCCCAAGAGTGTTCAAGCCATACTGAGGACGAGCTGGGCCCCAGATCCAGCTCCTCCACATCCTGACCCTGCTCCTGCAGGCATCTGGAAGTTGGCATTGCAGCCTCATCCCAGTGTCCTTGGACAGTAAGACACGTGTAAAGACAGGGGATGTGAGAGGCACATTGACTAGCTCTCAGCCAGGCTGCTGGATCCTCCAGAGAGAGGAAATTTCCTTCTCTATTTACTTTCCACATCCTTGCCTTTGAAAGCCAAGCTGGTGTTGATATTTACCTTGGCCGGGCCTCCCCGTCTCCCTGGGCCCGCCTCATGTAAACACGATGTTCCTTCTCTTGGTTCAACGAGCGTTGAGGTGGCCTTTTGCAACCAGTTCTAGGAATTCTGAAAGTCTGAAGGCGTAAGTTCAGGGACCAGCCCCCCAGGGAGTCCAGGCTACGAGGAGCCCAGGGGACCTCTGTGCTGGCCAGGCCTTCCCCCACCTTTTCTCATTTCTTTGGGGATCCTATTTTCCCCATGTTCACGTCTCATCCCACCCTGGGTCAGACTCGGACTCTCCAAGGACACACACTAAGGACAGGCAGAATCTGGCTGTCTCCACTGTCCTGCCCCAAGCGCCCGGTGGGGCCGGTGGGGAAAAGGCTGACTCTTAGGGGGCAGCCAGTTCTTTAGCATTTGTCTGGGCCTGTAGTTTTTTAGTCCAGTTGGCACCTGGACCACAGGGTGGGAGCCTGCAGAGGTGGGAAGTGTGTGCACAGGCAGTCTGGACCCCATTCAGTGAGTGCACAGCCTGAATCCTGCCCTCAGGGAGCCCACCTTCCAGAGAGCAAGTGGACAGAAAGAAGGCAGCCATTGAGGAGACAAGATGGTCTGGCTCATGGTCAGGAGCGAGTAGGGACTGCCTGGGGCAGGGATGGCAGCTCTGCAGGAGATGCTGAGGGGGCATTTGCACTCCCGGGGCCAGATCCCAGCTGGCTCTTCCCCACAACTCGGCCACTGGTTCAGTTACCAGAGATCTCTTAGGCAACTGACTTCACTTCTCTGAGACGTGGTTTCATTATAAAGAAATGGGGGGTGTTGATCTCTGAGTGACGACGGAGATGAGGCACACGGTATGTCACCTGCAAGTGGGAGCCACTGTCCCTTCTGCTTGTCAGCTGACACAACTGCACAGCTCTGAGCACCTGAACACTCTGCTGACTGTCTCCCCTTCTCCATGCAGATCTGGGATATGAGTGACGATGAGACCGTCTGACAGCCCACCTCAGTGACAGCCGCTGCCTGCTGGGGAGCTCAGTGGCCAGAGCAGGACTGCCGCCTACGACCGGTGACTCTGGGCCCCGCATCCCCCACCCTTCGTTCCTTCCTCTCCGTACCTTGAGGACTGGGGCCTTCCCTTCGCTGCCCAGGAGCTTCTGGCGTTCTTCACTTCTGGTTCATGACCTGCCAGTTCTGAGCTAAATAATAACCTTGGCATTGCCACCACCTGGGGCGAGGCTCCCTCCTCGAGCAGTTCCTTTCTCTCGCCATTGTTTGTTAGGCCCCTAGGATCCTTCCCACCGTGGCCCCCGGGGGGTGGCAATGAGGACAGGCAGAGAGTTGTCCCAACGAAGACTACACTGTGGGGCTGCACTGCAACCCCGTAACCCCGTCCCTGCCCTCTACCACCCTTCCCCACCCCGGGGTCCTTCGTGGTGCCCGCTGTATCTGCCTCAGTCTGTGGCCAGCAGGCGGTGAGAGTTCACATGGGTTCTACCTGATCTTCTCTCTTATCCTGAGTCTGCACACCTGTGGCACCAGAGTGGGTGTGGAAACTTCTCATCCTTGTGGTCTCATCTTTAATCTCGGGCCTGGAACCAAAGTCAAAATGGGAGTCTGACACTGACTCTCGGAAGAGTAGGATTTCTGGAGGGATGGTTTTCAGTGATGGTTTTCAGTTACAATTCCAGTTTTCTAGCCTACGTGGGGCATAAACAGGGGCACCTCTGTAGAGAGGCGCAGTGTGGCTAAGCACCCCCACCCTCCCTGGGCCTCACAGCGAAGCCCTGGCACAGGCACTCCAGGACCAAGGTCACACGTACAGTCCGTGGTTTAAGAGCACTTTATTATTGTTCTTAAGGCTACTTTTAAGTACAAAAAAAAGATGGCCTGCCAAACCTTTTTTTTTCTTCTTCTTCTTCTTCCAGGAAAAACAGGCCACAGAGAATGGTATATTACAGATTTACAAACATGGAGAGAACGGTCAGAACGCACTGCGGATGGCGTGGCTCTGTGAAGACCCTCACCGTGCTGCTCCTGCAGCCGGGGAGTGTGTCCCTTCCCAGGGAAATGTTTGGTTTCCTGCTTCCCCGTCTGCTGAGGCCCCTCCGGTACCGCCTATCCCAGACAGGCCAGTGCCCGGGGACCCAGCCGCCACCACCGTCCCTCCCGGGCGGACAGCCGTGCGAGGAGCCGTCTTCACAGAGCCCGCTGGCAGTGGGCCGTTTCCTGTGGCGATGCTCAGTAGCCTGTAGCAGTAACAAACTAGTGGCTATTAAGGCAGATGCAGTGTTCTCATAGAATAACTGTGTTCCTGCACTTTTACAGACAAATCTACGACAAAAAAAAGATCAACTTTTTTTTTTTTCCAAACAAAAAAATTATGAATGATTACAATAGGAAAGGGAAAAATTAAATAGCTACATATCATTAACAAATTAATTGTTCTTCAAAAAATACCTACAAATTTCTCTGTACATTCTTTACGCACAGCGTAATGATGGTCTTAAAGTTACCTATATAAAAAAAGTGTTCTCAACAGTTTTTCCTACAGAAAATACAGGGGCCTGGATGCGGAAGCCTGGAAGCCCAGTTAAGTGGGAGTGAAATGTGTGCAGGGGCGAGAGGACAGGGGTTTCCCTTCACCTTTTCAAAGGCCTGCAGCCACCCTGTGACCACAGCAAGAGCCAATCCTCCGACCTTTTCCCCCGGGGCCGGCTTTCAAAGGGGACCAGCTCACCTGTAGTTTTCTCAGGCTGAAACCCAGCCTGGGGGCTCCTGGGAGCCCACAATGCCTTGCAGGTGGGGTGGTCATGCCGGCATCACCTGGCCGGGTGACCTCAAACCCTCCAGTGAGCGGGCCGGAATGTAGCCCGGCGGAGGGGCAGGGGGATGGACACGTGCGTTTACTGAAAAGAGGAGCAGCTGTGGAACCTCCACAGCTGTGTCTGTCATGCTTTCTTCATCTAATTTCTAGTTAGTAGCTATTACTATAGCAAATGATAATAAATGCAGTAATAACTGTATAAAGTCAGAGGAATGTATACTGCCTTGGCCCCAGCGTACGAGGAAGCACACAAAATAGCATATCACAGATTGTCAGTAATCTGCTGTTTAGCCAAGAGAGTTAAAGGGGGCAGTTTCTGCACAGAAGAAAGTTGGAAGACAACTCCCAACCCCCCTGGGAGCTAGTAATAAGCAGACAGCGACGCAAGAAATAAATGATGCTGTCAGCCTGCAGCAAAAACTCCAGCATCCTACACCCCGGCTGACCAGCGACTCGACTGCCCATCCCAGGGCCTGCCCGGGGCCACGTGGCCCCACTACGAGGGAGTAACGTGAATATCAAATACAAATCTTAGAGTACAACTGTACCAGCAGTAAGTATATCTAGGACTGTAACTGACAAAAATAAACTAATTCTGAACAGAAGCTAGCATTAAGGTTTGTGTTTACCGTTTATACAATTAATAGAAACCAGCTATTTTTCCCCCTTAAAAACACGCATCATGTTTAAAGCACTACGGAACCCCAGCTCTAGCCTAACAAACTGCAGTGTTCAGAGAAAGTAGAATGCCCGTGATTGGTGGAGTCTGCAGTCCAGTTGCAAGCACCTGAAAACTAGAGAGAAAGACCTATAACCGGTATGAGACTTCCCCTTCCAAAGCTGTTTAGTCTATAAGTTTTAAAAAACAAAACAAAACAAAAAAATACAAATGATCAGAAATGTCATCCTTAAACCCTTTGTTTTCAGCAGTTTGCCCTCAGAGTACTAGCATCGCACCTAAAGTTGTCAAGCAGGCAACTCTAGTCCTCCTCCCATAGTGCAAATCAGACACGAGAGCCCCCTGTTCTCTTCAAGTAGACGCACACGCGTGCGAGCCGGACCGAACAAGCCGCGGACGCTGAGCCACACCCCGGCCTCGAGAAGCACATGGAAGAGCACAAAGCATCTGGGTCACCAAGGTCATGGCTTGTGACCGAGAAAGTGCGCGCCAAGGAGGCCCGACCCGGTCGGGCAGCAGACAGACCTGCATCAGAGGTTTCTTTGGTAACCGAGGCAGGAAGTTAGGATGCTACATGAGACAGATGTTCCACACGCCGTTCCTACTATCACGTTTGAGGGCCCTGGCGTACGAATACCAAGCAAGCACACAAAAACAGAACGAAATTCCCGACATGGTTTTTGCAAATAAAGCCATCCCTTCCCTTCCCTCCCACCCCACTCCCATGACTATTTTTTTTTTCCCTATTTTTTTTTTTTTTTTTTAAAGAACTGACTGTTCAAAGCTCAGGCAAACCATGCAGATCGGCGTCTTGCTGGAGGACGGTGCTCTCTTCAGGAGACCACGGAGGGGGAGTGGCTGTGGCTGACCATGTGGGCAGAGGGGCTGGCGGGCTGGCCCCTGCGCGAGGCCGACTCGGGGCTGCCGGACGCGCCGTCCTTGGCCGCCTTGATCTGAAGCCACGTGTCTCCCAGGGCTTTGGCAAAGTGGTCGTCCACGGAGCCCGTGATGGACACGGAGTTGGGAGCTGGCTCAGGCTCCTTGTAGTTCTTGCCCAGGCTCCTGCGGAAATGCTCCTCCACCACGGGGTCGCAGGTGGCGGCGGCGGCGGCTGCGGGGGAGCAGGACAGCACTCAGGGCTGGGCTCGGGGGCCCCTCTCCGCCAGCCCAACTGGGCACTTGGGCGCACGTCTCTGACTGTGACCTGGCGTTACGCCTGCCGCCCAGGGAGGGGCCAGCTACTCGTTCAGGGAGAGAGTGCGGCAGTAGGGGACGGTAGAGACTATTTTACCCCAACTAGGGGGAGAGCCTACAGGTCAGGGCCAAAGCGTGTCTTCCCTCCTTCCCACCCACGCCAGGCACTATGCCAGGAGCATGCGTGCTCCAAAAATCCCACTTTTCCATCTCAATTAGAAATGGCTCCAGGACACCGAGAGGTTCCCGTCGACAGCGTGTTGACTGAGGAAGCTGAGCCCCCCCCCACCCCCCACCCCGGGGACACTTACCGCTCGGGGCCCTCCGGTAGCTGGCCGGCCCGGCCACGCAGCCGCTGTGCGCGATCGGACAGTGGGAGAGGTTGCAGTTGCGGGCGCTGGCAGAGGCGCAGGTGATCACGGAAGGCCGGTTCTGGGGAGAGAAGGGGGCTGGTGTCAGCTCGGCCCTGGGAACCCAGAGGCAGTTCTGCTTCCCCAGCCCAAGTCTCCAGTCCTTCGACACCTGTCACAGCTCAGGCAGGGCGCACCCCTCTCACCCCACAGCCGGGCCCTTGGCCTGCCTGAGAGCCAAGTGCCACCCCCCCAGCACCGCCCACCATTCTGCGGAGACCCCCCTCCTGACTGAAGGCGAATCTAAGTCCAGCCCGTGTGCAGCCTCCGACTTCCGTGCAGACAGACAGCGGCGAGTGCAGAGGGAGGGAGTCTCCCAGGGTGCGGGAGGGGCCTCGGTGCTCCTGCGGTGGAGGACCCCCAGCTGAGGCTCTGGAGCAGCGGGCGGCCCTGCCTTCTCAGTCGGTGCTGCTCCTCCCCAGAGGCGCTCGGAACGGTCCCTGTGCCTTTCACACACTTGGTTTCTGCTTAGGCCAAAGTCAGCTCAGGCGGGTTTTTATCAGGACCACACAAATGGAGACAAATGCAGGAAACACACGTGTCGATGAATTACATGCATGTCACCCCGCCCCCAATTGGCTGTGCTGATGCCTTCCTTCCCCAGGACACTGCCTGGCAAACCACTCCTCCTCTAAAACCCGCTCAAATACCGTCACTGGCAAGCCATTTATGAGCCCACCGAACCCCGATTCAGCAGGCAAAGCTGCCCTTCCAGGTGCGCCCGAATGACACCAACACCTGCCGCCGCCTCTAGATCACGCACACTTCAGAGCAGGGACCGCAGCGAGGAAGTTTCTGATCCCCAGGCTGTGGTGCAGGACCTGGGGCAGAAAGCATCTGAACCAAACCACGCTTCCCAGGTTCCACCAGGAAAGGTATCTCCCGTTAGCCCCGAGGACAAGACAGACGAAGATGTGCACCGGGTTCCAAGACAGCCAGTGAGGGACTGGCTGAAGGGTCACCCCGAAGGGCCCAATAGCGAGAGCCGTGTCCACAGAAGGGGATCGGGCTCATCCACTCAGCTTCCCTCTCCAGAGTCCAGCAGCAGCCAGTACACAGATCCACACTAGGCTTCACATCAAACCTTCCCGCTGGGAATGAACAAGGCTGACGAGGTAGGAATATACAAAGTGAGGACGACTCCAGAACTAGACTTAGATCAGAGGGATCGTCCAAGAGCAAAGAGATTTAGAAATGTCAGATTTTTCCTTGGACCCCTCTTCTGTACCTGCCTGCCTAGAGTCCCAAACCACCTCCCCCCCCCCCCCAATATATAAAACACCTGAATTTTGCACTCTCGTAAGAGATTTAAGAATTAGTTCTCCTATCTTCTTGTATTATGTCTTCTCAAGCTATCTTCTTGTATTATTAAACATTTCCTTGCTCAAAAAAAAAAAAAAAAAAAAAAAAAAGGTCAAAAAAACATGTTCCGGGATAAAGATTTGGATCTACTAGGAACTGGGATTAAAATAAGGGCCTGGGTTTGGGTCTAGCAAGAAATTACACGCCAGATGGGGCAAGACATGGCTGAGCTGCAGCATGTGAAGGAAGAATTTAGCGTTTCCATTAAGAGCATGACTCCTCAGCAACAGGGATGGAACCACCGGTCACAGTGCAGGGCAAAAGGCCCCGGGGAGAGCGTGGCTCTGAGGCCAGGCAGACCTGGGTGAGAGGCACTCCTCCAGCAGGGCCTGAAGCCGGCGCTTCTTCCACTCCCACTGTTCCTGTGACAAAAAGCACCTGAGGACGGGCTGGAGGGCCCACCACCTGGGATGAAGGGTGGGGAGCCCTGCTCACCAGGTGCTGCTGGACCGCACCTGGAGGGCAGCCTGCAGCCGGAGCCCACCTCTCGAAGGGTCTGTTTAATCCCTGAGCCCATGATCGCTCCCCTTCCCTCTCGGGAATGGGCTACAACAGGATCGTAAGTGGCCTTGCCCATTGGCCAGGTTGAAAATCTGATCCAGGCTGGGGGCCAACTTCTAAACCTGACTCATAAGAGATTCAAGTTGATCTCAGGGCTGTGGGCAGCCACGCTGGGCTGGCCATGTGCGCCTCTCGGAGGAGAGGATGCAGAGACCCAGACAGGCAGGGGGCCAGGGGAGGAAGGGGAGTCCTGTGTCCTCTCCTGCCCTCCCAGGCAAGGGCCAGCCCTTCCTTCCTCGGCCTGGCTGGACCATGACCCTCCCAGGAAAACTCCCTTCCTCTCGCGCTGGAAGTAAGTCTGATAGGTTTCTGTTCTTTGCAACCAGAATCCTGACCAACGCAAATGTCAGGAAGTAGGGATGTGTTTGGGAGAAGCGTCTCAGAAGATGAAGAAATGCAGTGACACAGGATGGAGTTAGGAGGCTCAGACGGAAGAATGAAGCCGACATCCAGCCCTTAAGCCGGTGCTGTCCAAAGGCGGGGAAGGCCATTCCAGGAGAGAACACGGCTCCTCGTAGCGGGGTTCACTCAGCTCCATTCACCCCCCCCCCCCGTGCCCCCCACTGCCCTCGGCCCAGGCCGCCCTAGGAAAAGAGCGTCCATATGAGTACACTGCCTTAGGTTTTAACCTCATCCTGTCTCTCCTTGTTTGCTGTTGCCCTCAAGGCCACCCTCTCCGTCACTTTTGTACCTTTCTTTAGAACACTCCATATCCTCAGAGTTGCCATTACCAAGCCATAAAAGTGGGGTGACACTTTCTGCAGCCTCCCCGGGAACTTTCCAGCCCCAGTTCCCAGAGTTCTGAGTCACACTTTCCAACGCAGGGAGGAAGGCTTCCCGCACAGCCCGCTCCGGAAGGCCCGCCTCCCCTGCCTTCCCTCGCTTAGAGCGGCGGGGGCACACAAGCCTCCCCACGGCACAGTCCTGACTGCTCACGGGTGAAACGGAGCTCCTGGACATGGACGGACGCCTCTGAGCTGCTGGGAACAGGCACAGGCCCCTCGTCTCTCCTCAGCTCAGCACCTGGCTCGGGACTCAGTGAGAGTCCGAGCAGAAGCTCAGGCTGTGGCGGACCGTCCAGGAAGAGCTCAAGGATGTGAACGAAATGTGCTGACCAGCAGTCAAGGTGGAAGGCAGACTGGTAGCCTCTTTGCCACTAACCCGAACCTTAAAGCAAAGCTTAGGTCAGTGGCCACCACGCTGGGGAAGCCGGAGCCCCCGTGCCCATCCCAGGAAAGCTGCTGGCTTGTTCAGTGGCCACTGGCCAGGACTCCCACAGGAACGAGATGAGAACTCAAGGTTCCCACTCCTAGAAAGCCTGCTCACTGCCCCGCACTGGCGGGTGGGACCTGCACACATTTTGGGATGGGGCTGGGAAGACCATGGTAAGGACACCGGCCGGTCGCTCCATCCAGGAGAGCACTTTCCATAAAGCAACTGTGACTGAAAACCAACCAGAAGACCCTCAAAAGCCTTCCTTCGCAAACGCTCAAGGGCAGGCAGGGTCTACCGAGGGCCTGCCCTGTTTTCCAGGAGGCACTGGAGCTTCCTCCCCCAGCTACCTCGGCTCAGAGACGGACTTTCCCATGAGCCCCCAACCCCTCCCCGAGGACCCCCTGCAGCAGTGGCTGTGGCCAGAGGGCTGCATTCCCTGGAGCCCAGAAATAAATCCCTTCTACGCTAAACCACTTCCACTGTGGCCCGTCACCCTGAAAGGCAGACCTCTGCTCACACATTTCCCTCCCTGGACTGTGAGCTCTCCTCGCTGGGACGTGCTCTGTATCTTCAGAGCTGTGTGGAGTGCCTGAGGCAAGGTCAGCCCCTAATAATGTTCAGTTAGTGAAGGCAGTGGTAACTTGGCCCCCAGTTTTTACAGTAAGTGTGTGTTTATTGGCACATGAATAGCTAAAATGCCACAGTTTAGTTATTTGATTGCCTAGCTCCTCCAGACTAAAGGTGTGAATGCCACGTTTTGCTTCAGTAGCTTCCAGCACATGCCCTGCACCCTAGTAGGTATCTACCAGTTTTGTTAAGTGAATGAATGAAACACATGGGACAATGATGTTGGGCTCCAAAGTGGGAAGCGGAAGCCCCAGCACCACCTCTCCTGGGCCTGCTCATTTGCAGTCGTCAGTGACCAAACCAGAAACGTACCAGGCAGTGCTGGCTGGGCTGGGCACAGCCGGCCAGGTGGAGCAGCTGTCAGAAGCCGGGCCACGGCAGGGAGATGAGAGCCTAGGTTGTGTGCTGGAGGGACCCATCGGCGAGTGGGAAGCTTGGGCCTGGCCGCCTCCCCTCACGTCCGTCAGTCTCAGCAAGTACCATCTGAGGACCTACTATGTTACAGACCCCAGAGGTTCAGAGGGAAGGGCCACAGGCTCATGCAGTGGTCCCAAATCCCAATGCTGATGTATTTCCTCAGGAACCCCATTTTTTAGATATTTTCCTACCCGGCGAACTGTATTAAGCTATAATTTTCCGAATGAAAAGCATCCTACCTGCCAATCACAGGTTTCTGACCAGCACGAGCTAACATCCATTGTGACCACTGACTTCCTAGAATTCCAGCCCTAAGCAAAGCACCCGTGGGGCTTACGATGGGCAAACGTATGGTTGCCTTTAGGGCCAATCGCACTGACCCTAACAGAGACAGATCCACCAAGAAGACAGCTGAAAACACACCTAATCTAGGCCAGCCTGGTCTGTGCAAAGCCACTAAAACCCCTTGTCCATGGCAATTAGTCCTAAAAGGCGAGAGGCCCAGCAGGTGCAGGCAGCACTGAAACGTGCAGTGGTGTCTGGTGAAAGGATCCCTCTGGCTGTCGCTGCTGCGGCTCCCTTGGCCCCAGTGCAGAGCTACAGCAGAGGATGGACTTACCCACCATCTCTTCCCACCTCCCTCAAGGCCTCTGCTCAGTGCTCCCTCACCCAGCTTCAGGCCCCAGCCCCGAACCCACTGCAGGCCCACACCCTGCTGCACAGACATACCTGCTGCCGCTCCACCGGGGTCAGCGTGGGCGCGATGCCCGCCGGCCTGCTGGCGTCCATGCTGTTCTTGGTCAGTGCGAGGGGCTGCTCCATGCTGAGGCTGGGGAGGGACGCGTACAGGTGGTTGCCGTGCAGGCTCACGGTAGGGGCCACGGCCCGCTCGATGGGGCTACGGCTCCGCTCCCGGGGGTCTTTCCGGCAGTCTCCGTTGGCAGTCTTGTTCCTGGGAAAGAGGGATCGCTCAGATGGGAATGCCTGGCATCTTGGGAACGGCCACGTGCCGAGCAGTTCACACCGATTATTTCACCTATTTCCTCACCTTGCCGTGGATGTGGACAAGCATCGTAGCATCCTCAGCACCCCCGTTTCCTGAGGCTCAGGACAAATAGCTCTCCGACCAGGACGCTGACCCGGGTCGGGGTGACTACAAAGCCCCTCGGTGCCCGGAGCCTGCTCAGCAGCCTGTCCACGCAGGCCGCGTGCCTATCCGAGCCTTTCTACAAAAACTCCCCTTTCTCAGAGTCTCACGAACTAACCTGGGTGCTCAAAGCCATTGATAAGGATGAAGACCATGATGATAAACTCAGAGGTGCCAAAATGCCTCTATGTGCCCGGCCCTGCTCCACAGGTGGTATCAGCTCGCTGGGCCTGGACAGCACCGAGAGGCAGATGCCGTGACCACCCCCCTTCCAGATGGCAGAACCACAACTCGGAGCAGCCACGCCGCCGGGCCAAGGATGCTGGCCGAGAAGCCGTCTGCTCACGGTGTGCGCACCTACAGGCCAGTAGGGAGTAGAGCGCCGGCACGCAGCTCCTAACGCCGGAATTCACCAGCCAGCGCCGCCACGTCAGGAAAGGCCACCGACTGGCACTCAGAGGCCTCGGCGACATGCTGAGCGTGCGGCAGGTGCAGTGTGGAACGTGGGCAGGGTGGTGAACGCCTCCTCCCCGCCACCGGAAGGGGCTAGTCCCCGTGGTCAGTAAACTCATTAGTCCACAGAGCCAAATATCAACAGTACGATGATTGAAATTTGAGAGCCCAATTTTTTAAACTTAAACTTCTTCTAACGCCACTTCTTCAAAATAGACTCGCCCAGGCCGTGGTATTTTGTGGAAGAGCCACACTCAAGGGGCCAAAGAGCCGCATGTGCCTCGCGAGCCGCAGTTTGCCGACCACGGTCTAGTCCAAGGCAGCATCCTATGGTGCAGCTGTTAGAGAATGACACAGCCCACAATGGTAAGGCAGGGTCCACAGAAGACCACAAACGCTGCTCCCGTCTCGGCCCCTTCAATCCCCCATGACCTCCTGCTGCCGGAGCAATCTATTCATTATAAACAAGCACATCTTTTAACCAAAAATGTGGAGGATAATTTTTGACTTTTCTTTAAGAAATGCAAATTGTTCTCAGCGCTCCAAAGTAGTCATCCTCTTGCCTCAGGGAGGATAGGGGAGGGAGGAGTTGGGAGGGGGGGGGGACACATCCATCTGGTTGCCTACTGTACCCAGGATGTGTCCCGACTGGGAGTCAAACCTGAGACCTTCCAGTGCTCCAAGCAACTGAGCCACCCCGTGTAGTCAGGGCACAGACAGCCTCCGTTACGGCACTGAAGCCTGGGCTCGCACACTGAGAAAGAAACCCAGAGAAGGAAACAGCACAGCCCACTGCCGCCCCCACTGGCTGAGTGTGAGCCCATGGTTTAGTATTTTATATACACACGTGGGGCGGAAACGGGGGGGAGAGACAGGCCTGCTGTTTTTCTTTGTGTGTTATTATTTTATTGATTTTTTTTTTTTAAGAGATGGAAAGGGAGAGAGAGACAGAAGAGATAGAAACATCGACGAGAGAGAAACACTGATCAGCTGTCTTTTGCATGAGCCCGCAACCTGGGCAAGTGCCCTGACCAGGAATCGAGCCTTGATCTCTCGGTTCCTGGATCAATGCTCAACCATTGAGCCACACCAGCCGAGCCACACATGCTGTTTTAAACGTCAGAGTCATGTGTATCCTTTATCCAGTTTTCCCGATGGTGACACATCTGGTAAAACTATAGTGTGATACCACAATCACACGACTGACACTGAGACAATGCGCCCCACCTTATCCAGACTTTGTGTTTTATTTGTATTCTTTTCCGTGCTCTATGAGCAGACCCGACCGAACATAGCAAGCCCTTAGATGCAGGCCAGTGGCCTCCTAGGCCCGTCCCACGCTGGTCTTGACCACTTTTCCATCCTCGTCTGGGTTTCCTGCCCACAAGCTCATGCTCAGTAGTTACAACAGTCTGCTTGCCATGTCTCTGCCTGTACACACTCTATGCCTCCCCCCCTGTCATGCACACACACGTGTGTGGGCCCACACAGCCAAATGTGCCAGCAGCCTTCAGTGCAATGCCCTGGATTCCAAAATGGCCCATGAGCCCTGAGCACACCATCAATGATTCTTCTCTAGGCACACATTCCTTAAATTATACGACTGTCTGAGCACAATGCTGTATACCTAAAAACCAGTGTAAACGAACCTTAAATGTCAACTTTTGTTAAAAATAAAGTTGAAAAGTTTCCTTCTACATTTGGATAAAGTAAAATTGTGTGTTTCACAAGATATGTAAATTGCTTCCCTGACACAATCTTCTCTCCCATTCCCGACCCCAAAAATGTAGTTTCTGAAGGCCATTGAATGAGTCAGGGGATAGATTAATGGGCTTCTCAGTCAGCATTCTCCTCCGTCTGACTCAGACGCCAGCTTATGCAGCCAGAGTGAACCGAGCTCCTATTCTGTGACAGTTACAGAAAGCAAGACACTGCACTGCGTCTCGGGGCGTTCAGGAGAGGCGGTGTATGCTGGGGAGGCGGGCAGGAGGCTGGAGAGTCACCGGACGGAGAGGCCCAGGGTCAGTCACCACGTCCACGGGGGAGGGAGGCCCAAAGGGCGTAGTGAGGGGTCGCAGGGCACACAGCCGGCGGGCAGTGCCACCCTCGTAGCTGCCGCCTGTGCTCTGTGCCCACGCCGCTGGGGGGGAGTGGGGGGGCGCGAGCGGGAAAAGGGGCACAAACCAGAAACACCGTCAACCAAAAGCATGACGCAGTGGGCATCGTGGAGCAGACAACGCTGCGAAACACAGAAAGAAAACATCTGAAGAACCCGCTGGTTAATTTTAGCAAAATTATACATTACTCACATTTCCAGCTCATTTTCCTAGTTCCTGGAGCTTAAAGACAGACATTGTTTTCCATGCCCCTCCTCCGTCCCCCCGAGTGAATCATACCCCGGGCCCCGCCGCTTCCCAGAGCATCATGTGCTCCCACGGCCAACAGACCCAAACCACACGCTTCCTGCCTGGGGGACCGAGCGGCCTCCGGGAACTCAGGGCCTCAGCCCCGCGAGGGTCTGAAGGGCTCCTGGGTGGCTGGACACCCAGCTCCACGGTGTCACTGCGGCTCCAGGGCACCCTGGCCCCTCCCGGGACCTCACACTCACCCTGGAAGGCATCTGCACTGCCAACAGTTTCAGGAGAGAGAATGGGAAGGGAGGGGGCGGAGTAAAGAGGTGGGAAGGAAGAGCACCCATCGCACTCCCCTCCAGGACGGGTGCTCCAGGGAACGCAGCCACAGGCTACCTCTCGGAGCCGAGAAGCCAGGCGTGTACAGTGTCTGGGGAAAGTCAGCTGGGGTCCACGCGTGAAGCTGGAAAACTCCGTCATATGAAGTTTGCTGCACCCACTAGATCCTCACAGGATGAGATTCCCGCCCTTACCCCCCACGGGAAGGCATTACAGCGTCAACATGCTCAGGCCTTAGTGGAATTCCATTAACTGTGGACGGCTATTAACTTAACCGACGTTGAGTCTGAATGTGTCCGACAGGGGAGGGGATATGCATAGGAGAGGTTTTACTTCGTGCTTTCAAGGAAATATTCTGGGATCCCGTGGGTCCCGGGCGGCAGGTGCATGGCCGTCTCGGGACAGCTCCCTCAGCCCCGGCGAACCAAGCAGGACCCAGTCCAGCCCCACCCCGGTCCCGGGAATGCACACAACACCCGTGAGATGACAGTGGTCCTGCCCGACCCCAGACCACACCTGGAAGTGGTGAACGCAGGTCTGGGAGCAGGGGCCCTGGGCGGTCACAGCCATGCCAGTCCTCCCTCCAACCGCCTGTTGGGAACCTCTGGAGAGTCACAAACCTTCACAGTCCAACACTAATCATATCAAAGTTCTTAAAGCACCTTTACCTTTTAAAAAGTCCCTCAGAGAATATACCGAATGCCACTGAAGTGTGGCTGAAAATGGCTAACATGGCATGCATACTTTACCACAATTAAAAATAGTAACAAATTCTAAAATCTATATAAAAGCCTAATATGCAAATTGTCCCCTTGACCGTAAGTTCAACCAGGAGTTTGATCAGGGGGCGGGGCCAGTCAGCCAACTGCCCATGGCCCCTCCCCCAAGCCAGCCCTGTCCCAGCTGGTGGCAGTGGAAGGCAGCCGGGGGAAGGGGGAAGAAAGGCTCTGGCTGGCAACTCACAGCTGCTAGGGACCCTACCCATGCACGAATTTCATGCACTGGGCCTCTAGTATATATATAAAAGGCTAACATGCAAAGTGTTCCCTCAGGAGTTTGACAGGGAGGCCAGGAGTTCAATCGCTCACTATGATATGCACTGACCACCGGTGCAGAACAAAGGAAGGCCCTGGCCGGCAGCTAGGAAAGGAAGGCCCAGCCAGCAGCTGGAAGGGCCCAATTTGCCCTGATCACCGGCCAGGCCTAGGGACCCTAACCCTGCAGGACTTCCATGCACCGGGCCTCTAGTTAAAAATAAAAAGCATCCCCACAGGCACTACTTACAGAGTCCTCAGGTTTATGATGTGCATCAGGCAGGTGCCTGCCCAGGTTTACAGAGGACCAAGGTGCAGAAAATGAACACTTAGCCTCAGATCCAGATGGAGGCAGGATGTCACCTGCCATTCAGCCATCCTCACCCCAAGCCCTATGACAGCTCTGTATCACCCCCAAGCTTCCAGGAGGCCTTCCTGACCCCTCAAACTGCAGGGATAGTTAACAGTGAGAACCCCGGATGTGTATGTGAAGGCACCAGCCCCCAAGGCACACCCCCAGTGAGCTGTGTGGCCTTAGTCTTCATCGCCAGCTCCCTGGAGCTGTCCCCAGGGGCAGTCCAGCCACCCCAGCTGGACCGGGCACCCTGGAGGCCCAGGTCTGCAAGCT